GGGGGGGGTGTGGTAGAAAAAGGGTAAAAATAAAGGAAAATCCTCTCAGAAAAACTGAGGCTGTTAGAGGGCATCTAGCCAGAGCCAGAAGGCAGGGAGAGATTATGTAAAAATGAATGTAGGGGGAAATGAGTCTCCCAGCTCTCCTTCTCCAGTTAGAATCCTTCTGCAGGAACCTCTTGCCAGCCCAGCAACTCATGTAAAACAACACATTTCCAAACCTCTTTCACAAACAAAGCATTTGGAAATATTGAGGATATTACACATCCTCCAACAAAAATACACATTTTTCTGGGAAAAGCATTGATTCATTGATCTTGAAATTCTTACCTGGAAAACTCCTGCACTCCATGAACTGAAGATGGGGCTGTAGCCCTGATTCCTAGCACCCTGTCCCCTGGCTGGAGACATTTTCCTTGGCTCCCCAGCCAGCTGGGAGGTCTGTTGTCTTGTGATGCTGCCTTGAGAGCCCTGCTAACCAGCCAGATCCCAGATTCTCTGAGCTCTCTGCCACAGAGCTCAAAGTGAGCCAGCCCGAAGTCCTGAAAATGCTGACTTTAAACCAATCAAACTGCAGGTGGCAGGAAATTCCAACACACCGGAAGCAGGGTCAGGCCAGGCAAAAATCTCATCTGAAACTTTTCTCTCTCTTCACCCTTGGCCTTGAGTGCTCCATCTCTGCATCCCTTATCTCTCACTTTGCAACACAGACGCCCCATCTCCATTGCCTCCTCTACCACAACAGATTTAGCACCCCAAATTACCTACTGCAAACACCCTGTATCCTCCAAATCATACCACTGATCCCCAGATTCCTACCATTCTTCTTCCTGTACTCTCTGCAACATCCTTCCCTTTTCCACACCCTCTCCTTTTCACCACACCACTTTCACTGCTGATCAACATCCCAAATTACAGACACCCTAAATCACAGACACCCCAAGCCTATTGCACACTGAGCACCTATCTATCTAAAGTTCTTCTCTGCTGTAGATTTTCAGTACTTTCAGCTTGTGGCAGCTGGTTCAAGATGACCCACAGCTGGCCAACCACATCACCCCTGTGCTGGTCAGGAGGGCAACATCAAGGCATGCCAGGATGCCAGTTCTGTGCCTAGGGCACAGGAGGGTTTGAGGAACAATGTGATCAGCACAACAGCCACAAAACATTGCACTGTGGTCTGTGTGTTGCAGGGTCTGTGCTCCACTTGGAGCTTCCAGACTGCTGTTCAAGGAAATTGCCATCAATGTCAGCCTCACCACCACTATTAGACATCTCGTCCATGTCCAGGCCCAGCTTGAACCCATTTAACTTGTAACGGATAATGAGATAACAGCATGACATGCAGCAGCTGAAGATTATTTAAACACCCATCTGGTACCTGTTATGCAGCATACGTCCTATGGTTGTATAGGAAATATATGCCACCTCCCTCCCACATGGAAAGGAGAAGATCTATAGATGTATCTCATGCTACCCCTTCTTTTTGCAGATGAGGTAATTCTCCTTCTCTGTGCTGTTTCTGGCATATCACTTTGCATTTCCCGTCTGTGTTTTGGGAGATGCAGTCCCTTCCAAGCTGTTGAGACCTTGTGAAAACACACAAAAGCATCATAAAAAATTTGCACAGGACATCTCACCCTCTTCATACATCAGACAGAAAAGACTCTACTATGAAACTGATTCACCCTTTGCAAGACACAACATGGCACTACTCTTTATCCCAGAGAGATTCAGGGGTGACAGTCCACGTCTGTGTTTGTTGGACCAGGCTGATTCTACAGGGGAATGGTGAAATACCTGCTGAAGCCTGAGAGGTGAGCAAGGCAACCAGCTCACACTGTAATGAAATAAATAAAAGGCAACACGTCCACTGTAATCAGATGGACAGACGAGAATCTGCTCCCAGCTGAACAGTAGCCTGATTTCTTTATCCAAACCCTCCACCTTCCTTTGTAGGATGACTTTGGCTGTTTTGCTGGAATGGCCCACAGCTGTGGCTCTCTGTGATCCCTCAGCAGCCGGGGGCCGGGTTACTGTGTATCCCAAGAAATCACGTTTCACAACACCAGTTGTCAGTTCTGCAGATGGGCGTCCACACTTCTCTGTTTTTCTCAAACATGACTCAGTTCTCTGCAGAAGCTGTTCTGGCATGGACCAAACCCTGTGTCTGACGCCCCATCTAGTGTTCAGCACGGACAGATGCACAGGAAGGAGGTGACTGGAGAATTCCCAGCATTTTCAGCGATATTAAACCACATTTATAAAATTTGTCTCCAAGAGAGCTCGAGGCGAGCCCAGGCGACACTGAATCCTGCATATCCCACTGCCAGTCCCTGCCTCTGGACTCTCTGGGTGTCCAAGTGGAGATAGCAGCAGGAAAGCCCTGGAAAGCCCAGCTCCTTCTTTTTTTGGCAGCACACCCAAGGGCTTGGAGGACACCTGGGCAAACCCAGGAATGAAACCCCATTTCAGCCTTGGAACGGGGAACCGAGGGTCTGAGCTGTGCCCCCGCAGGGCTCGGTGGCAGCTGACAGCCTGGATTCTCCAGCAGGGAACAAGGGCGCTTCCCGTGCTCGGCAGTCGGCAGCACTGGGCTCCCTCGCCAAGGCAGTCACCGAATCTTCAGCAGGTATTTTCAATACCAAATAACGCTGCTCAGCGTTTCTCCAACGAGATTTTAAAAAATAAAATGGGAATTGCTGAAAAGTGCGTTTCACAACTTTATTTAATGAAAAAAAGGTGTCTGCTGAGAAAACAAACCCTTTTCTGCTTTTTTTTGGTGGTGGGGAGATAGTGAAGTTGTCAAGACAAAAAAAAAAAAATCTGCTCTGAGGACTTGGTTTTATACAGCAGCTTTCTGACACGTTCAGTGCTGCGAATTGCAGAGCCCTAAGCACTGCTAAGGAAATCCTCGGGCTGTGTAACGTTGTGTGCACAACCACTCGCAATTAAGCCCAAAACAAGCATCTCTGTGTTCTCCGTTCATCACCAGCCCAATTAGCACCTTGGTTAAGAAGCTGAGAGGTTCCAGTCCTCCTCCCATCAGAGCTGGGGTTGTTCTGGTGAAACTCTCACTGTGCCTATGCAGTGCTCTGTTCACAACACTCTCAGTTCTCCTGGAGCAGCGTGATAAGTCTGTTAACTCATTAACACCTCCAGCTTACAGGAGACTTGGCTTCCAGCCCCTTCAGCAGCTCCGCGCTCCAGGAAGTTTTTCTGCGCTTTCTGTTTTGGTTTCTTTTCCTGCTGAGCCAGGCTGGCTGGCAGCTCCCACCATGAAGCTCCTGAAGGCTGCAGTAATCTTTGCTCTTGTGCCCACTCTGACGCCGGCTTTTGACCCTCTCAGCGTTTCAGTGGTTGCGGGGAGCGCTGTCATGGCTTGGCATCTCTTGTCCTCCGACTCCTGGCTCAGGTGCCGCTTCCAGGAGTGCTGCAAGAGGAATGTCACTGTGAACTTCAAAGGTAAGGCAATGGTAAGGGCAAGGGGGACAAGCTGGTGTTCCTTCGCAGGGTGGTGAGAGCTTCCTTTGGCGGGCTTGTGGAAGGTAAGGGTCACCACCCACAGCGGCTCTGCAAGGCAGAGATCTAATATATCTCTATAATTACAAAGCAGACTAACCTTGTTCCTTATCCCACAAGAAGCTGTGTCTCTTGCTTCTCTGAGCAGTACCGGAGCATTTTCCTTGCTGATTTCTCGGTTTGTATTGGCAGAAATGGGCTGTGCTGGTTTATGGCACCATCAGGGTGGCAAATGCCACTGATAGACCTCATCCATGTGTATAAATATCTAAATATCCACGAAGGTGGATCAGGCTCTTCCCGGTGGTGCCAATGACACGAATCAACAGGCAGGGAACACAGCTTGGGAAAATACTGAGACTTTACATTTTGGTAAGCTAACTCTTGATATGCTTCAGTGAACAAAGCCTGAGAGATAAATATGTATTGTTGAGGGTGAACACCTGAAATGTAGAAATCATGGACCACAAGGACATTTTGTAGAAAGACTAGAGTCTCCTATTTTGTAGGAGACTAGCACAGACTCCGTTTCTGCATTGTAAAGTCCCTATTAGAGGAAAAAGATACTAAAAAGACCAAAATTATAGCCTAATTAGCACAAGAAGCGAGAAATCAATAGCCAATAGAAGGTAGAATAGTAACTAATGAAAGAAAATGATGCAATTTAGCACCGATAAGCAGTAATTTCCTTGCTTGCTAAAAAGGTATAAATAAGTAAAAAAAACTTCGTGTCTGTGTGGAGGCTGCAACGTGGCCGGCCCGGCCAGACTAAAGTAACGCCTTCCTACCACTAGAAAGGCGGAATTGGAGGTTTAATTTCCCGGCGGAGCCGGCAGCAGGTGACGCGCTGCATCCCCGGGGCTCGGGAGCTCTGCCCGGCACAAAGATGGCGGCGGCCCCTCACGGGGCGGGGGCGCGCGGGCGCGCAGGCGCGGTGGGCGCGGCGCGCGCGCTCGGGGCCGCCATGGCGCGCTCGGTGCCGCTGCTGTGGGTGCTGCTGCCGGGGCTGGCGGCGCTGGAGCCGCTCAGCGTGGGCCTGGCCATCGGCGTGGCCTCGGCGCTCACCGGCTACCTGTCCCACCCCAGGTTCTACTGCAGTTACGTGGAGTGCTGCCCCCGCGCCGGGCAGCGCCTCAACGCCAGCGGTACGGCGGGGGCGGGGGGCTCGGCCGGTCACTGGGCAGCGCGGCCCGGGGCGTGCGCGGTGACCGGCGGTGCTGAGCTGTGCCTCTCCCCGCAGCGCTGAAGGCGCAGCTGGACAGCAGGCTCTTCGGGCAGCACCTGGCCAAGGACGTGGTGCTGAAGGCGGTGCTGGGCTTCAGCAACAACCCCAGCCCCAAGAAGCCGCTGATGCTGTCGCTGCACGGCTGGGCCGGCACCGGCAAGAATTTCCTCAGCCAGATCCTGGCGGAGCAGGTCCACCCCGCCGGCCTGCGCAGCAAGTTCGTCCATCTCTTCCTGGCCACCCTGCACTTCCCCCACCACGACCAGGTGAAGCTGTACAAGGTGAGGAGGGGCAGGAGGTAGCCCCGTTACCCCCAGTGGGTGCCTGAACCCCTCACATCTCCCGCAGGTTCCCTCTGGGATGAGCTCAGTTGAGCATGATGCTGATAATGCCAAGGTTGTGAGTTCGATCCCCGTATGGGCCGTTCATTTAAAAGTTGGACTCGATGATCCTTGTGGGTCTCTTCTAAGTGAGAATATGCTGATTCATATTCCTGACAGCTGGAGGTGTGCAGCTGGGAATTCCAAAGCTTAGGAGAGACAGAAGGGGAAGTTCATGCATAAAGTAAAAGGCACCAAAAAGGCGAGAAATCAAACCCGAGATAGTTTCCATTTCCTAGCGCTACCCTCTCACTGATGCCATCTGCTGATTCCCGTGCTCGCTGCGAGGAGAGTTTCTTGTTCCAGCTGCATTATCCTGGCTGTCCGAGATGGAAGGAATCTTCCCCATAGCCCCCGCGGGGCCTTGTTTTGCATTTATGACTGAAACAGTGTTGATA